TGCTTATTTCATTTAAAAGTCTCACCTGTATTGTAGGAAGCTTCCAATTTCTCCATTGTTCATCAGCACCTGTAAGTGGGTTTATTATTGTAATACTACCACGGTAGTCTTGATGATTTATATGAGGTAGTTACTCACTGTGGTTTCGATTTGCTTTCCCCTGAAAGCTAATGATACTGAACATGTCTTCATGTGTTTATTGCCCATTTGCTTACCTTTTGACTCTATTCAGGTCCTTTGCCCATTTTTAATGGGTTGTGTCTTTTTCTGCAACTGCATCGTATCATTTATTATGCATTCTAGATAAAAATTCAGTAGAAGGCATGTAATTTCTATAAAAGTTTTCTTCCATTCTGTTGGTCGCATTTTTTACTTTCTTGAAAGAACTCTTGAAAGCACAAACTCTTTTATTTGCTGATAATTTAGTTTCTTCTTTCCTTCATTGCTCCAGATTTTGGTGTCATATCTAAAAAGTAAAGCCATTAACATTCTGCTGCCTGATCCAAGGTCATGAAGATTTATACCTGTATTTCTCTTTCAGAGTCTGTAAGACTCTGTAAGTCTTTGCTTCATTTTTAGTTAATGTTTTGTAGGCACTGTAAATTGAGTAGGAACTATAAATTGAATATGGGTTTGAAAAGGATGGTTACAAAACCCACAAAAATGCCCAGGAAAAAAAAATGACAGAAACGTAGGAAATATCAATAAAAGTCAAGAAAACAATTTTAGAATCACTAATCCATATAAAAGAAAAAATCTAATGAGCAGCAGAAGAGAACACAGAGCTAACAATCGATCCATAATTCTCTGAACCCCTTTTCCAAATGATGGAGCTCTACTGGGCCAGCCACCAGTGTGATCATCCAGTTGGTGGGGCAGCTAGGTGGCAGGATCTCTTCATGCAGAGGAAATGGTAAGAGTGTGGTTGGAGGAGGAGGAGGATATGTGTGGATGCTCATGCAGCTGTCTCCTCTGGCTGGGCTATGGAGGTCAACGGAGTCGAGTCAGGACAGATGAGTGGAGACGGAAGGTTAGGCAGAGCCTAGAAAGAGATTCTTAGCTGTTCTGTCTGCCATACCAAATTGCCTCAAATGAAGGGTGTGATGACATTGATTTCTCTGGAAGCCAGGACTCCAAAGTGTAGGAGCTGTCAGCGTGGCTCCCTACCCATCAGTTTTATCTGTGTAAGATACAACTCTGCCAATGGAATCTGTATTTCCAGACCACCTTTTACTTTTCTAAGGGTCTCATGTAGCCCAGTGGCTTTGGACTCATTTTGTAGCTCAGAATATCCTGACTTCCTGATCCTCCTGCCTCTTGCCCCACAGGGTGGTGTGGTCTGAGTATAAAATGTACCCTGTGGTGTCAACTGTTTGAATACTTGGTCCCAAGATGTTTGAGAAGGTTATGGAACCTTTAGCAGGTGGGGCATTGCTGGAGGAAGTACATCTGTCTGCTTAATGTTTTAACTTTGCTTCCTGAATGTAGATGCAATGTGACCAGCCAGCTTCCTGCTCCGGTAGACTTGCCCTTGCTGCCTGTGGCCCTGTCCTTCTTGTCATGATGAGCTCTGTGCAACTGTAAGCCAAAATAGACCCTTTCTGCTTTAAGTTGTTTTTCTAAGACTATCTTATCACAGCAACATAAAATTATTATACCATGGGAGAGACACCCAAGCACGCATCCCCAGGCCGTTTGGTGGGAGTGGCTAGTGACTACAATGAGCACATATGTGATAGAGGGATGGGAAAGGGGGAGTACACAGTGAAGAGATGAGAGAGAAAACTGAGCCTAGTGTTCTGTGCACTGTGGAGAGAGGAAGAACGGGAAACGTACTAGAGTTGAGGACCAGGAGGATGGGAGGAGCCTACACAAACACCTGCGGCCATGGAGAGGTCTGGCCTGGGCTGCTGTCAAGAGTCATGTCTGGGTTCAAGGACCTATTGCAGCTGGGATCTGTGCTGATGTCTGTGGCCCGTGTTGCCACCAAAGACCATCCAGATGTCAATGGTCTGGGCTGTAGCCTGAGACCATGTTGATATCTGGGGGACATAGTGACACTGGGGGGACCCAACTGATCTGAGTATCCTATGCTGTTACTTGAGGCCATGGTGATGTCCCGACTCCAGGCTGTCCTTGAGGGCCATGTCTGGGTGCATGGTCCTGCTGAAGCTGGGGTCTCTGTCAATGGCCATGGCCTGAGTAACCACCAAAGGCCTTGTGGATATCAGTAGCCTGAGCTGCCACCTAAGACCATGTGACTGTCTGAGCGTCATGCCACCAATGGGGGACATACTGATCTGTGTGGCCTGCTCTGTGCTGCTGCCAGGGGCCATGTCTGTGTCCATGGTCCTATCCCAGCCAGGGTCTGTATTGAAGACCAAGGCCTGTATTACCACCAGAAGCCATGCAGGTGTCCCTGGTGTCGTGCTGAGCTGACTCTTACCAGCTCCCACACTTGGGAGAGCTAGTCCTCATGGTGTAGGTGCAGGAGAGCTGTCAGGCTGACCAACTCAGCTTTCTCTCAGGCCCAGATCCAGGGCTCTGAGTTGGCCCACCCCAACATCTACCCCATCTATGAACTGCTGGGGCACATGAAAGAGCCATTCCCACAGAGGCAAGGCTGCAGGATCACAGAGCAGCAGCAGGATATCCCAGAGGAGTTCTGGTGAGGATCCAGTCTTGCTAGTGTAGCAGAAGACAGAGGCCTCGAACCAGACCAACGGCTCAGTGCGATGAACATTTTCAAGTAAAGAAGTGTGGACAAAAGTGTGGACTGTGGGACACACTGGGACACACTACAGCTTCCACAGCGAGATGCTGTAAAATTCTTTTTTACTTACTTATTTTTTCGTTTCGTTTTGTTTTCTTTTGCAGAGTAAGTTGCAAGGGCAGTGGGTGGATATGAGGGACAGGGAGATGGGTGGAATTGTGTTGTGTGATGTGAAATTCACAAAGAATCAATATAAAGTTAAAAAAATTAATGTATCGTACCTAATTTATCTCATTTCTTAAGTTTTGAGAGAGGCTCTCTATTTGCCCAGGCTTGCTTGAACTTTCAATTCTCCTGTCTCCGTTGGATTTAAGGCCTACACTCCTAGGCCCTGTATAGTCTTCCTTTTTGGATTACAAATGGCTGTCTTCTTATTGTGTCCTTGGCTGGTATGCAGTTTCAGTGGCTTTACGTCTTATAAAGACAGCAGTCCTATGGAGTATACTTCTATTCTTCTGTCCTCATTTAACATTACCGGCTTCCTTAAAGGTTCCATCTCTGCAGAGGGCACAAAGTCCTTGTGCTCCCTGCAAGCACTGCAGAAGTTAAACACACAGGCTTCCTTCAAAGGAAGGAACTGTTTACGTGTCCTGGAATGCCAGGAATGGATGTAGTTTATCACCTAATGATCCTTTGCTACCCGATGAGCCAGGCTCCACCCATATCCTCCAGAATAATAGGTTCATCCCTGACTCCCCTCCCAGTCCAAAACCCTGAGCCTTACTTGAGCATTGAGATGCCATTTGTACTTTACAGCAGCCTAAGTGTCTTCTATGTTATTTTAGGACCAGGCCAATCCTGACTCTCACCGGCCTTTTGTTTACCTCATGGGTAATTTCCCCCAGACCCTTATCTTAAACATTGTTTCTAATTCAACAGAACCCAGCTTACAGATGCAGCCACATGTACTTTGTAAAGTGCTTCAATGTAAACATGTTTTAAATTTTGTTGTACTCAGGACACTGAGCTGTTTTCAGAAAAACCTTTATTTCCTCAAATTGTGCTTTGCTTAAGTATGGCTATGTTTAACAAACTGGTCTCAGGCCCTCGAGGTTGTAGCTGAGCAACGGTTACCTAAGGTGTGTAAGTTTCACTCTTTTCTTTTAAATTATTATTATTATGATTATTATTAATCATTCCATTCATTTACATCTCAAATGACATCTCACTTCCCAGTTACCCCTCCACAAGCCCCCCCCCCATCCCTCAACCTCCCTCCCCTTTGCCTCTATGAAGGTGCTCCCCCACTCACCCTCTCCCATCCCACCCCTCCAGCTTCCTCCTACACTGGGGCATCAAACCTCCACAGGACCAAGGGACTCCCCTCTCCTTGATGTTAGACAAGGCCATTCTCTGCTGCCTATGTATCAGGAGCCATGGATCCCTCCAGGTACACTCCTTGGTTGGTGGTCTAGCTCCTGGGAGCACTGGGTGGTCTGGCCAGCTGATGTTGTTCTTCCTATGGGGTTGCAATCCCCCCTCAGCTCCTCTAGTCCGTCAGCCAGCTCCCCCACCAGGGGCCCTGAGCTCAGTTTGATGGTTGGCTCAGAGCATCCTCATTTGCATTGGTCAGTTGCTGGCTGAACCTCCCAAGGAGCAGTCATTCCAGGTTCCTGTCAGCAAGTGCCTCTCGGCAATGGCAACAGTGTAAGGTTTGGTGTCTGCAGACAGGATGAATCCCCAGGCGGAGCAGTCCCCTGATGGCCCTTCGTTTAGTCTCTGCTCAATTATTTTGTCCCTGTTCTTCTTTTGGACAGGAACATTTCTGGGTTAAAAACTTTGAGGTGTGTGTGTGGCCCCATCACTCAACCAGGGGCCATGCCTATCTATTGGAGGTGGTCTCTACAGCTTCTATCTCCCTTCTCTGCTAAAATCATCCTTATTGGGTCCTGGGAGCTTCTCGTTTCCCTGGTGTCTGGGACCCTCCAGTGGCTATCCTCAATTCCTCATCCCTCCCTGCTACATATTTTTATTTGATTTCCTGACCCTCTGTACCTCTCTCCTGTCCCATCTAGTACCTGATACTGCCCCCCTTATTTCTTCCCTCTCCTCTCTCCCTCCCAGTTGCCCCCTCACTCCATCATCCTGAGTGAGGTAACCCAGACACAAAAGAATACACATGGTATGTACTCACTGATAAGTGGATATCAGTTAAAAACCTGATAATGCCCATGATACAACCCACAGACCATATGGAGCTTAGGAGGAAGGAAGACCAGGGTGTGGATGCCTCAGTCCAGCATTGATGGGGGAACAGGATGATTTCGGGGGTGGAGGGTAGAGTGAGTTTCATTCTTACCTCCCCGTGACTGTTGTAAAGCCTTCAGGAACCTCCCACAGATCTTCAAATATAGTCATGTAAGGTAATAACTAGGCTGTAACACAGCCTAGTACAATTCAAGGTATGCTTGCCTATATTGGTTCCTCGTCTCCTTGCTATTTTCAAACACCTAACAAGAAAAACTTAATGTAGTAATAATTCATTGGGCTCACAGTTTGAGGGGATACATGGTAGTCAGAGGCCCCATGGCAGTAGACAGCCATGACAGTCTGACAGTGGGTGACTCTGTACACAGTATCTGCTTGTTCAGATCCTAGCAGATAGGAAACAGAGAGAGAAGAATGCCTGTATCTGGGTCCCCCAGGAGCTTGTGTGCTGCTATGTTCAGGGTGGGTCTTCCTTTTGTTTAATTCTCTCTGTAAATACTCTCACAGACACAACCTGAGGTATATTGAATATGGGCATGTTCTGGGCATAACTGAATCCAGTCAAGTCAAGTTAAGGCTTTTTACTTTAACTGAATTTTATCTCCTGAATTTTACCCAGAAGGGTCACAGATAGGACATGCCACTTTGAAAGTCTATCCTGGCAGTAATGGAGATTCTTAGAGAGAAGTCTGGAGGGAAGCAAAGCTGAGCCAGAAAGTTACGGCGGTAATGCAGGTTGGAGATGGTGGTGGTTTGAACTAACGGCATTGGGAATGGAGAGGTCAGGAAGTGTGAGATGTCAGGGAGCTGGGACTGGTGGAGAGGAGGAAGGGCTGGTGGACAAGGTGCTCTCCCTGGAGGTAGCAGAGGTAGCTAGGATCGTGTTCTTGGGCAGCTGGTGCGTATCAAAGTTGAGTTGCTGGTGGAGCATGTCGGATGTGAAATAAGAACAAATGGACCCAATGGAAAGGTGGTTGGGGGCTTGGTGCTCTTGGCTTTAATGGAAGGATGCCATTCCAGTCTCCAGAGGTCTGTGTCAGTCAAACTTCCTCCACAAAGGAGCACAAACAAGATCACGATCTTTGTGCTCACTAAGGAAAAATAAATAATGCAATCTGGAGTTTACAATGCAATCGAGAAATGAGGAAGAAATCACAGCAGGCATGTAGAAAGAGCATTCAGAAAACAGATAGAGTTGGAGAGGATGGGCTCCGTCACACTTCCGAAGGGTGAAAAAGGAGAACAGACTGGAAGAGTTTTTACATTTAGATCTTGTTTAATCGTTTGTGAGGAGAGCAAGACCTTTGGCTGAGACAGACAAGGCTGATAGGGGAGCCGATGCGGCAGAAGGGCTAAGAGAAATTAAGTCTTAGGAGGTGAGCAGACGCTTGCTTGCTGCTTCTAACTTTCCTGTGCCAGGGCTTGCCCCTCTGCAAAGGCAGAGAGGCTTCTGGGAGTCTGCTGGCTGCACTGAGTTGTGCAGGTAGTGATCTGAGGAGAGACAAGCGATAGCTCCCTCCTCAGTCTTCCCCTATCATTTGAAGGGTTCTGTCTTTGTACACTTCCTGTTTCTACTTCTTCTAACACTTGTTTTGGAGAAAGCTTTAGTGTGGCTTATAAAAGAGAAGAAAAAAACTCACATAAATCTGGGGTAGCTGGCCCGTTTTTGAGATAAGGCGGCTGTCATCTTTCTTGCTTTGATTTGTATGTTGGTCGAACGGGATCATACTTTTAAATGAAAATTCTGAACTGGAATGCAAACAGATACAGAGAGTTTTCTTTGAGCTGAATTCTGATAGGTGACATTGGAATGGCCAAAAAGCCAGGATGAAAGAGTAGGCAGCAGGAGCTGCCTCACATCTTCCAGCATGGCGGCTGGGAACACAGAGCCGGAAGCTGCTGTATGCAGATGTGAAAGGAGTAGATCCTGACTTCTACCACTTCACATCTGTGCATTCAGAGTTTTATGTGGCCTTGGTAAAGCCCGCCTCCGATAGACACCCCTCTGACACTGAACAGCCCCCACCCCGTCCCCCAACCCAGGCGAGAGAAGGGATAAAATCTTGAGGACCTGGGCCCGTTTTGCTCTTGGTACCAGCTTCCGTTAGCCTCCCAGGTGTCTGTCTCCTTGTCTTAGTCAGATAGGCTGCCTGAGCAAGAAAGACGTCCCAGACTGTGTGGCTTAAGCAATAGACAAATATTTTTCAGTTCTAGGTGCTGGACGTGCAAGAGCAACGGTCAGTGGGCTTTCCTTGGCTTGCACATGGCCCCCTCTTACCGTGTCTTAACGCTGATGTATTTCCTAGTTTCTCTCCTTTTTCTAGAAGGACAGCGGTCTTATCAGATTAGGTCTCTGCTCATCATTTTGATGGACCTTATTCACCTCTCAAAGGTTCTGTTTCTTACTGGAAATAGATTTTAGGAGAAGACAAACACTCTGCAGTCTTCCTTTAACATCCTCGGGGGGGGGGTGATTCTCTGGATGACGTTCCATCTCTCACATAGCTCTTTCTGGGTTCTCAAGCCAGGTGGCTTCAGGGTCACCTCTCTCTTGTTAGAATTATCTAGCGGCTGAGGACTGAGGAGCCAGCTTTTCACTTTGAATCAACTTGGTGTTGGGTTCCTCACTGATACAACCTCTAAGGAGGCCCCATAGTTCTCTTCTCAGAAATATCATGAGAAAGAAAGGAGTCATTTTTAAATGTTGAGTCTAGCCTTTGAAAGATACCGAGGGCTACTGTTACCTCTTATTCAGGGTCTCTGGCTTCTGTCATTGCATCTATTTCTCTTCCGCAACAGGGTTCTCTCCTAGATGTATCAGGCTGGCCTGGAACTTGCCATCCTCCTGTGTCACACTTTCTAATATTGAGATTACAGGCATGTGTCACCAGGTCTGGCTTCCAGCTGTTTAAATGTTCTCTCTGTTCCAGCTGCTTCTTTAATCCTTCTGGCCTAGGCATGGACACCACCCAGTGACAGACACTTCATTCTCACCAACTTGACTTTTAATACAAAGACTCATAGTGAATCTTTTTTTTTTTTTAACATGGTATTTGGGTCACAGTTCCTACAGGAAGGAACTTAAATGTTCCGTACTCATCATTTTGTCTGACTGGTCAAGGAAACCTAGTTAGGTCTTTCTCCAATCATGCACGCCCAGCCTTAGTTTAGTCATCCAAGTCTGGGAAAGAACCATCTTCTTTACTCAGTAGTTGGGCAAGGAAGGGTGAAAGCCAGGAAAGGAGCACAAGGAGGCAAAGCCCCTGTGCTTACATTATCAGTCTGTGCTACCACTTCACATCTCTGCTTTCCCACGAGGAGCTTTCTTTACACAATAGAATGAACAGCCTTTTAAAATGGCTTTTTCTCTCTCTTCCTCAGCCCTCTTAGCACCTGACTGCCCCTCTAGCCACTCTCAGCGAACTATTTCCACAAACTCCTATTTATCTCCTGGAAATTATCCACAGAGACATCAGTCCTCTACTTACTTGAGCTCCATGACCCGGTGAGACACCCTGTATAACGGTTCTGGTTCTGCTGTTTCCTATGCTGACTGCTAACCAGCCTGAGGTTCCTCCTACTGTATGCCTCAGATTTCCGACTTCTGGACTTCAACAGATTTTTAGGTATCTGAGACTGTGAGCTTCAACAAGACAGAGACAACAGTCTCCAAAGTGACCAGAAAACTGTTTAAGTGATTACCAACAAAGGTGGAATTGTGAGATGTGGATTTCCACACACTGAGGGATCCAGTTGAAGTTATGACCCTACTCAGAGTGTAGCTAACTTTCAGTATGAGAAGGGCTCAGAAGTCTGTCCCCTTTGGTACTGTGAATGTTTATCTCTGAAGAGAAAATGCAACTACCTTCAGAATGTCATAGCTGGAGAGACAGGAAGCTACAAAGCCACAATGTAAAGCCAGAATTTCCTGAGTTTGATAGAGGAAATCAAAGCATGTTATAGAAAATAGTCAACACTTGGTGTTTGCTGGCTATTTTCCCCTCTGAAAGCTGAGACTCACTACTAGGAATCTGTAGCAAGTGGTAGCAGGTGCCATGGGTCAACAAGGAAGCCCAATGATGACCTAGATTGGCCTAGTGCTGTGCCTTCATTGAAACAGGTTAAGTAGCTGCCACTGCCCTGAGGGGGCAGAGCCAGAGATCGCGAGGCTCTTCTTCAAGCACAGAGAATGATCTATTTGGTTCTTCTCACCTTAGTGCTGGCTCAGTTTCAAGGGTTTGGACTTGGTTTCATAGACTAACTTGAGAAATTTCGTTTAGCAGATCGAGTCTCTGTAGCCAAGGCTGGTACACATTTCTGCCTTAGCTTCCCCAGCTCTGGGATTATAGCTGTGAGCCACCATGCCTGGCTGAGAGATTTAATATATCTGGATTGAATGAGATTTACTTTCCTATTCGATTCCTGTTCCAGACTGGGAAAAAGGTAAAGAGGTTCCCAAGGCTGAATTTAGCTTAGTGAAGCTCACTTGTGTGTGCCTGTGGTAGGAGGTATATGCACTGAGGGACACATGCTTGATAGAGACTTGTTCTTCTTGGAGCAGAGTTGTCCTAATATCAGTTGCCAGGAAGGCTTTGATCACTTTGTTGGGAGCATGGATTACTTGTTACAGTGCACGAGTTAAGAACTCAGAACTTAGTTCCCTATCATTAAGAACTGAGTCTGAGACATTTTTGGTATAAAAATTCAGCCTGGAAACCAGTTATAACAAGAAATTCAATTACAGAAAATCCATGGTAATCCCCCTGCCCCAATTTCACCTTTAGACTTGAAGAAATCTAGGGAGAGTTTATATTGAACAGCACAAGGATATCTTTCTTGTAAATCTCTTCACAGAAATTTAAAGTCTCTTCTTGTAAAGTCTCCCCCAGATTCCCTGATGGAAACTGAAGGGAGTATGAAGGGTAAGGGGTCTAACTCCTGCATTATCTTCCCTACAGTCAGTAAGTTCTTGTTCCAGGAAACTCCCTTCTTCCCTGCAAGCTGACTATGGAGGCCCTCTTTCACCCTGTGTGGTAGTCAGTTTTCTGCTGCTATAACAAATGGCCTTATACAGTAAAATGTTGGCTCACTGTTAGGAAGTTTCAGTCCATGGTCATTTGTTCTGGTGCTTGTCAATCTGTGGTGTAGGTAGCACTTCTCAGGGCAGTGGGCGGTAGAGCAAAGCCAAGCATCTTATCTCAGAGTGGGAGAAAAAAAGAGGGTCCCCAAAATCCAACTGGAAAGTACACTTCCATGGATCTAAGAATTTTGGAATTAGGTCCTATCTCCAAGTCTGAATAACATCACCCTGGACACCAACATGCTAGTGCACAGCCTCTGGCAGTGGGTGGGTAGGGGCAGCTCAGAGGGTGCGGTGGTACTCTAAACGCAAGCTTTAGCACCTCACAACCTGGTCAGTCTTTCCTTCAAAGACAAACTCCTCTATAGAAGCCTTCACCTAAGAGCTTAGTGAGATATTTTTCTATATTATGAACTATATAAACACTTTTTGTGTGTAAGATTGGATATGTTATGTATGTAGTTATTAACTTTGAGAAACACATTTACTTTTCCTTTTATATGTAAAACAGACTAAAGAAATGATAGAGTTTTGGCTTACTGAGTGGGTGTTTGTATACCAGTTTCTCCAGGTTCTGATGTACCAATTTCTATCTGGGTGACATGGGCTGATTTCCTAGACTATTTGGATTCCTGGGGTAAAAGAAAATGGAAGAACTAATTGTGTTCCATTTCACTGGCCAATATTAGTAATTATTTCCATCTTAGCAATACTTGCCAGCAGTGAGGATGTTCTTACAATAATCACTTATTTTGTTAAAAACTTCTGTGGACCTGCTTAATGGGTCTCAAGGGTTTTGTTGCTGTCATGAGATGAAACGGAGTTCTCTACAGGTTTATGGGCTGGTGGTGGAACCCTGCATCTAACCACAGAGGCTGACAGAAGCAGTGTCACTGGATCTGAGGCAGACAAAGCACACTGCCCTCCTCTGCTTTCACCTCCAGAGCTCTTGCCCTTAGACCCCAGATGCCATGCTAGAGGAAGCTCACCCCACAGAGAGACCACGTGAAAGCCTTATGGCCAACAGTGTCAATCAAGGTCTCAGTTAACAGCTTCTTTCAAACACACTACAGTGAGTTCATGTGACTCCTCAGGCATGGTCTGACTATTGTGAAACCCCAGTGACAGCCACCTCAAGAGCCAGGCCAGGCCATAGAGGTCATGTGATCCCATCTGTTGTGACCTTTCTTTCTTTCTTTCTTTCTTTCTTTCTTTCTTTCTTTCTTTCTTTCTTTCT